TGTTTTAAAAGTCAAAGTGGTTTTGTTTATTTGCTTTTATAAAACAAAAATTGGATTGCAGGGTGGTCTGAACTCTGAATGTTGATATGGACTGCTTTTCTAAGTTAGGTTATGTATTTGCTGATGACATTATATGGTATTCAGGCCCATTCCACTTTACTATGACTACAAAACTGGTCTCAACAAACTGGTGGGGGCCTTTGTGCAGAGTTAAGACTTGCATGCTTACATAATGCATCCATATTGATTTTCTTTTCTCTAGGTCAAGGTTTCTCAGGTGATTACCATGAATATTTTGGACTGCAAGTAGATGAAGATGCCTTAGTGTATCTCATGTTGGCAAATCATTTGGTTCACACATTGTATCCAGATTCAATAACCATAGCAGAGGTAAAGCCATACTGATCTCTACCTACCCTTGGGCCCCCTTTGATATAGAACGTTTTTGTCAGCATACAGTATTTGAATAATTGAGCTCATGTTGTCAATAATTGCATAACTGAAATTGTACCTTGACTTCATTCAGTGCAGCTACCTTGTGTGGGTGACACATTATTTGGAATTCACTGTTTTCCTGTGAGGAGGTAGTATACACTAATTACTTGTCATTCCGCTGTTAAAAAGAAAATGCCAGTGGTTAGAAAATAAAATATCCTAATCAGTGGACAGGTCCTGGCGCCATGAGACCTTGAGCAGAGAAAAGAATAAACTATTCCTGTGCTTCTGTCTATTTATTTATTTATTTTTCTTTTCTGGTGTAATCATTGGAGATGGCATGGATCGCTGCCTGCGAGCTTCTCTGAAGCCTCTCTTGTTCTGAAGTGATTACCTTTCTTGTTTACGTTGTTGCTCTCCGATTGCCAAATGTTCACTAGTTATTCATGATTACTGAAGGTTCATGATTAACTGTCCCAAAGCTGCACTGTAATGATATAATTTGGTATATGCATAATTGACAATTCCCCTCTTGGTGATAAATGCAATAAATTAAGAAGTTTGTTAAATGCTTATGCTAATTTTGATTTAGAACTAAAATCCCTCTGGTTTTCTGAGTCCTCTGACTAGGAATTATTATTAATATTGAAATTCAGTATGTTAAAACTGTTCTATACAAAGTGTAGTGGCTGGCATATAAAAATAATAAGACTGTTGTTAAAGAGTCAGAGGTAAGGTGTATTTTCACATTGTTGGCCTTTAGTTCATTGGGATGAAATGAAGTAGTGACTGTCTCCTTCCTGTAACATTCATTATTTGTATAGCCTTTTTTTATCCATCATTTCTTAGAACCCCAAATCTCCAACTAGGTGGTATGATTTCCTAGTTTATTTGTGGACAGTTACTCTTTTTAGGACTTTGCCTTCTAAGTATCTTCTAGGAATAAAGCAATGGATCCTAAATTCATGGAATAAATTCTAATATAGAATTTAAAAAAACACAACAATTATAACACCATTTTGTTACCCAATATTATTTCACACTCTTTACCTATCTACATTTGGTCATAGCTTATGAATCTTGCTAATACTTATGCTAATACTTTATGTGCTGAACATCAAGCTGAGTATGTTTT